GAAGTCTGGTCACACTCACTCTCCCAGAATACTCGATATTCCTTGGGGCCGGGTTGAAAAATCCCTTTCTTTCACGCTAATAAATTACATTCATTCCAATAAATTAACATAAACACAACACTCGATAGAAACATAGAGGTCTGGTCACATTCACTCCCCCAAAGTACTCGATATTCCTCGGGGAGAAGTTAAACAAGCCCCTTCCTTTCACGCTAATAAATTACATTCATTCCAATAAATTAACATAAACACAACACAAACACTACACACATTTAAAAAACCCTATTATAATATTAAAAAACCATCGATATAATAATAATAAACAAAAAACGTCTTAATTAATAAGAATAGTAAATCTTTTGCCAGGTACATTAGAAGAAGGAAAAAAAAATAGATTTTCGTTAACCATATCGTGTAGGTCTCGTTTGGGAGAAATTATCATCAATATCATCCGAAGATCACCTTTCTTCCAGTTATTTTATTTTTACTCGCTTCCAGGCGAAAATTGGGCAATTTAACGACTAGCTTAAATTACACAACAAAGATCAATCCATTAGAAAATTAGGCGATAATTAAGCCGGGCGTTTCACCTTTTTCTCCGTATAAAGTTTATAAATAATTGTCACATGTTCGTTATTAATTAATTTAATCGGAGAGCTCGTTGCCGAGAAAGCGAAATGGAGAGAACAGTAGCGAGAAATTCAACAATACAACAATTAAAAAAAACATATCTAAGGATTATTTAGATAAATATTGAACATCAGACCCGAGGATAAAAAGAGACAAAAATTGACATAGATTTTTAGCTTATTGTTAGTACAATCGTCTAAGCAGTTATGACAAATATCAATGTTAGCACTGATTTTTTTTAAAATAAATAATTAATTAATTAATTTTTTTATTTATTTTTTTGGACGAGTAGAAAAATAGTTAAAATAGTTTTTAATGCGATTCAATTCGATTCTGATTAACACTGTTGGTTTCTTGTTCAGAGTCATTCAGGTAATGATTATTTTCTTATCTTATCAATTTTTCAAACATTTTTCTTGCATTGCTGGCTTTGTTCGGATTTTGAAGAATGAATTTGATTTATATCATTTATTATTCAATGAGACTTTTTTGGTTGATAAATAGATCGAAAAATATTCCGTCGTGAAATATGGATTTTATCCAAATTCAATGTTATTACGACCGGCAACAAGTTCTCGGAGGTCAAATAGACAAGCCGGCGTCCCACAAGGGGTCATTCTCGGTCCCATCCTTTATATAATTTATATACGGCTGATCTACCCGCGCACCCAATACCATCACCACCACCTACGCGGAAGATATGGCAATATTGTTCTCTAACTCGAAACCTATCCGAGATACCTCCAACACCCAAAAATACCTTGAGCTTATCAAAGACTGGTAAAAAAAAAGAAAAGAGGAGGACAAGTTGAATGAAGTATAATGTACTAAGTGTACGTTCATTTGAAAAAAAAAAAAACAGTCCTTCACCGTACATACAACAAAGTGGTACCAACTTCCATTCACGTCAAATACTTAGGACTGTTCCTAGACAGCAGACTGTCGCGGAATCCCCACGGACTTTAGAACAACTTAACTAGACGACTTGGACAACTTCTAGGACCGAAATCCGGCTTGACCGTCAACACTTTACCAACCTTATGCAAGACTTTACTGCGACTACTTTTGACATACGGAGTGAAACTGGTGTGTTCTGCCAAGCCATCCAACATTCATTGAAGCCAATTCTTCCAATCAAAAGTCCTTAGACAAATTGTCAAAGCTCCTTACGACGTAACTTCACAACTACTTCAACATTCTTTTAGTGAACGAACTGATCCGTTCCAGATTGGAAAAGTTTCACACCAATCTCTCGGTCCATCCTAACTCCACAGCTCGAGCCTTAATCGACGATGGCCTCGGGACCTCCTTGTCCCTTAATCCCTGACACTGAGTACCAGCAGTGATTGGTTTATCATGGCATGTGTTTACCGGTTGCAGCGCTGTTGTTAGTGATAATGTAATATGTACTATGTGTATGTACAAATGAAGCAATTTAAAAAAACCAAGGTTCAGATTTTATGTCATAAGTGAGAAAAGTAAGGATGAAATTGACATAACTACATAAAACGTCTTATTTTTTATCACCGGTTCTAATTTTTTTATGGATGCCACAGTTCAGTCATTCTATGTAGTAGTTTATGGGGCTCTAAAAGCCTCTAAAGATTCTAGTGGGTCGGTCGAGCCGTTTTAAATTTAAAACCATTTTTGTGATTTTCTGGCTAAAAAAAAGCTGAAGAACGTGATTATTTTTATTTTACCTAAAATTTCTATTCAAGAGTTTTTTATGAGGCGAAAAACGAATATTGACTTTGTTTCTAACAATTAGTAAAAAAATATTTCAACCCTTTATGCTGAAACACGAAAGCAATCAGGCAGTCAAGCGAAATATTAATTTATACCCTCTTAACTGCACATCAGACTTTTGTTGTCGTTATTTTTATTAATTGTTTAGTAAGGTTTCGGCTAAAATCCAAACAACAATATTTAGAATTTGTTAAATGTACCCAATCAACAATAAATCATGTTCAATGATCAGTTTTAGTCAGCGGCTTAATATGTTATCAAGCTGGTTTTAAAAATTTCCGACCTTAATTTTTGCAATTTATGGTTTATAAGTTATAAAAATCCTAAAGATCAAGGGTTGAAAAAAAAAATTATTGGTCCAATAATGTTCTTAGGAAAGAATTTTCCTGCGGTTAATCCAAAAATTCGGCCCCAGTTCTAAAACAGTCCATTCAATGTGTAAAGTTTTGACAATTGACAAAATATCAAATTTCATAACACCTCTGGATTTCATCCCCCAATTCGAATTTATTTATTCCTTATTTTACTTAGAATTAGAAAATAATTATCAAGTTGTATTAAATGAAATTAGGTATAAAAAAGTTTCAAAAATCAAAGTAAGCTGTCAGTAAAACAGGCCAAAAAATACTTTTATCGAAAAAAGCAATTTGGATTCGTTCTAAGCACACTTTAAAGCACTTAAATACGAATTTTAATTGCAATACAAAATTAGAATTTTTAGCTTGATTTACCGGGGACAATTATTTTTCCCGCCGATGCACGTCGTTCCACTTAAAAAACCATTACAATTTTGGATTTTATATAAATTTAACGTTATTACGACCGTTGGAAAGCTTAACGTTTCCACTGTCAATGTATGTCATCATTGTTTAGATTTTATGTCGTTATAAGTGAGAAAAATAAGATGAAACTGACACAACTTCATAAAACGTCTTATTTTATATCACTGGTCCTAATCTTTTTATGGATGCCACAGTTCTGTCATTTTATGTAATTTATTGGGCTCTAAAAGCCTCTTAACATTCTAGTGGGTCGGTTGAACCGATTGAAATTTACAACACATTTTTTTTTAATTCGAAAACAAATCGTAGGCATTTGTAAAGGCTGAACAATATGAGTAAAACAATTATCTTCCCCAAAATTTGTATTAAATAGTTTTTTTAGAATATAAAAAAAAACCATATTGACTGTTTCTTAGCAAAAAATATTTCAATCTACTTTGCAGAAATCAGACAACTGAACGAATCATCATTGAAACCACTACTGCAATTGTGGATTTAATCCAAATTTAACGTTATTACGACCGTTAGAAAGCTTAACGTTTCCACTGTCAATGTATGTCAACAATGTTTAGATTTTATGTCGTTATAAGTGAGAAAAATAAGGATGAAATTGACACAACTTCATAAAACGTCTTATTTTATATCACTGGTCCTAATTTTTTTATGGATGCCACAGTTCTGTCAATTTACGTCATTTATGGGGCTCTAAAGAGTCTAGTGGGTTAGTCGAGCCGATTGAAATTTAGAACAAGTTTTTTGACATTCGAAAACAAATCGGAGGCATTTGTAAAGGCTGACGAATTTGACAAAAACTCTTCTATTTTTATTTCTCGAAAATTTGTATTCAAGAGTTTCTTTTTAGGGAGCGAATGCCTTTCTTTTAAAGGCCTGGAAATGATAGAGAGTTATGAACGAAAATGCGCACTTGTGCCTTAGACAAAAACTCTATTTTCTCTATAATTCTCACTATAAAATAATATTTGAGACAGGCGTTGTGACAGATAATTTTAAGGCAGGATATTCCCATTGTATAAGAAAGGCATTCCAGTTATGTTAGTAACTACATAGGCCCATAATTTGGTAATACAATAGGAAAAACAAGAAGGCATCCTACATGAATTCCAAGCTGGTTTAGGAAGTTTTATTCAACCGTAGACCAGATATTTACCTAAGAGTTTTGTGAAAAGTAAAACTAGTCAAAAGAGGGCAAAAGCATTCGAAACTTTTGCCAATCTTTCCACAGCATTCGCACTGACAGACAAATTTTCTGCAAGTTATGTCAGGTTTTTCCAGCAGGATGGTGAAAAGACTTAAAAATTTGCATCGAGGTCACATGCATCTGTGTGGAATAAGGTCGGCCTTTAAGAAAAGTAACGACAAAGGTGTGCGACAAGGCTGAGCGTTGAGTCCGCTACCCTTTGCATTCTTTCTTAATTATATTTACTTGGATTTTGGAGATAGACACAAATACAGTAAAATGATTTATAAAATTAGAAATGTCAATTAGAAACAAAAAAGTATATCAATCATTTAAATCAAGTAATTTTTTCCGGTCAGACAATTTTTGCGGTTTCGAACCAAAAATGTAAAATTTCGAAACCGTCAAAAATAGTGTACCAATATAGCGTAATGTCGAATTTTATTCAAATTGAACAGGGTGAGAAAATATTTGGAGGCAAAATTGCGCACATAGATTCTCAGATACAAAAAAAAATCTTAGATTTGAGCCTATTTCATTGAAAATCTCATAAAGACTATAAACTAAAAGTCGAGAAATTGGATTTAAAAAAAAATTTTAATTTGGATTTTAAAAAAATTGTAAGAGAAAAAAGAATGACTCACATTCGGAGGGGCGGGCGAAGAAGGTGAAGAGGAGGAAGACCCAGGCAGTGACGAGCTGCATGTCGCGGGTGGAGGCTGCACTCGCAGGGCACAACGACGGCGCATAAAATTCCTTCGGAAATCACAGATATAAAACGCACAAGTCGTGTCGGAGACTCGAACCGGACTGCCCGAACCCGAAGTGCCCGAGCCGGCCTTGGTCTGCCTCTGAGAAAGTGGGAGAGCCGCACCCGAGAGAGGGGAGTCTTTGGCGCAGAGCGAAACCGACCGGACGAAGAAGACCTCGAAGATGCGAAGGTCCTCCGGAGGCCAATGCCACGTCGGCAGTTGACATTTCCCCCTAATTCTGGACAAAAGGTGTAAAAATTACAACTTTGCACTGCTCACGACTACCCTTTAGAAAAATATCGTGCAAGACCGAAACTATGCGCATGTTTTATTTAATAAAAATCTAAACATTAAATAAATAAATATTTACCATGAAAAAAGTAAGGCTGTTCAAAAGGAGACTTGTCAGTCCTCCTAATAGTCCTAGAGTCTTCTTCCTGTGGTCTGCGAGGTGTAAAACATATAATTTGGCAGTTTCCAGTCATTTAGGTCTGAATCAAATATTTAATTCTGACTATTAAGTACTATAGTTTTAACAAAATGGAGCAAGCAAAAATTCCAGCGCAGTTCTATTTGGAGTGATCTTCGATGTCTGGCATTTATAAATAAAACAATCAGAATAATTACTGATACTTCAGATTACAAATTAATAACTACAAACAAATGAAATTGATGTTGACTGATGATTCTTTTGAGAACTGGATCTTGCAGTTGCAACCTATTACATTTAGTATGGCTACAAGCTCTGCTTGGTTGTTAGCACACCAGTCTGCTAATTTGTAGGTTAAGGTCATTTCATGTGTAAGTTGTTTGTATAATTTTACTTGTAGTCACAGAATGGCGCCTAGTCCTCTTCTCTTTGATCCATGGGGAAAAGTGAGTAGACTTTTCATGATGGCAGGAGAAAACTATCGCAGTTTGACTATCAGCCACAATATACAAGCAAACATCAGTGTTATACAAGAGGTCATCATCCATTCTTGAGATGTGAAAAATCCACCAGAACCTTGGCATTACCTCCTGTCATCTGCAGGGTGATGAATCTGTAATTTGATCATGTAGGTCATACTGAAGATGGTGAAATGCTAAAGCGTGTCTGACCAACCCAGCTTGCCTAGGCAGAACAAGATGATTGAGTAAGGGTCAAATTACAAATTTACTGGAACACTGTTTCCATCATAAATGAAGAAAAATGAAGCAATAAGAATAACTAATGAGGCTCGACATAAGGACTATGGTATTTAACAACAGACCAAGGCAATTTGTGATGACGGTAGATTGGGATAAGACATATGGCCACAAAATGGATTAGTTAGTAGAAAGGAAAAGATAGACAAAAGCACTCTGGGGGGAAGATCTTAAGAAATACACAGCAGACAATTGTTGGAACAGGGCAAAAATATAGAATGGAAAGAGATGGGGGTCTGCTTGAAAAACAAAGTGTAACGTTGGAACTGCATCTAAGTAACTTAAACCTATTTTTGTCCTTTTTTCACTTGCTCTTTGGTGGTTTCTTTAATTCCTTGGGGTAAGCCTATTGTCTCTTGCCTATTTTTTAGGATTTTTCTTCCTATGTGTTTTGGATTGACCTTTTCTTCTCCATCTTACTAAATGTAGTATCCATTTTGTGGCTTTTTCGGCCCAATTTATCTTCACTTGTTCTGCTTAAATGTCCCATCTAATTCAATTAATTTGTTTTTTGTTTATTACATCTGTCCACATCTTGGGCCTCAGAAATTTGTCTTATTGTTCCATTTCATTATATTATTCCTGATGATACAGAAACCATAGAAAAAGAGCTATTCCTACCACTACCTCTTTTCCATCTCTCAAAAGCTTTTCATACTTGAGGTCAATTATATTATAAAAAACCTTCCCCAAAATAAAGCTCTTGGTTATGATCTTATAACTGTTGACATCCTTCGATTCCTCCCTAAAAAATAAATCTTCTTCCTAACATACCTTTATAATGATGTTACAATGGAACATTCACACTGCAAAGTGACAACCACTTCCTCAATCCTATCACTTGACTCTTTCCTAGGAAAAATCAAACACACAGCCACCGTGTTGAAGATGCAATCTCTTCCTCACTTGAAACAGGACTGCCCAGCCTCTTCGATGTAGTAATAATAATAATATATATTTTACAAATTAATCCAATTTATAAAAAAAAGTTTAAATATAGAAATATACAATATAAAAAATATAACGTAAAAGTAAAAATAAGAAAACAAAGGAAAAATTACTTAAGTATTAAACAATATGTAAGTAAGAAAATAGCTTAAAAGAATGATTCATAAAATATACCTAAAAAAGATCACATTTATCATTGTTATTTTAAATTTTTAAATTGTAATTGTAAAAGAATATAACATTGTTTAACATAATATACATATTTTAAAATGTTACATAAATAATATTAGAGAACAATTATATAAAAATGTTGATTAAGTAAGTAAAATAAGAGTATTTTGTGCAAATTTAGATGAATATATAATCAGTAAATATTTCAATTAGAAATTATATAAGTGAAATATGGTAATATATACATATACCTACATACAAGTACAGAAATGCAAGTTTTATGGCTAAAAGATTTTGTGAAATTTTTTTATTGGTATAGAAATAATGAAAGCTAATTTAACTTAAAATATACATAATAATTTGATTTAACATGTCTGTGGTATGAAAAAAAAGAATTAAAAATGTAGCTCATTGATTTGGTTTGGCATCAAGGTTTGCTGTGGAAACTCAGGAGCATCTAACTCTTCACCTACTTCTTCATTCTGTGATTATATCTGACTGACCACTTCTTTCAGGTTAGCCAGGGAACTGATCTACTATCTGGTTAAGGCTGGAGTCTTTTTGAGTGCCTTTGGCCCCATCCTGTCTTTATCCCATTGTCTGACCTAGTCACCCATCCACAGTTGTGCAAATGTTACTACTATCCTACAATAAAGGTCCTCTTCTCTCACATCACTCACCTTAACAACCTAGAGCCTTGGCTTAAAAATGGCAAATAAAAATAAATAATGAATAATGACAAAAGCCAACACATAACTTTTACCTCCTACTTTGAATAACGACCCCCAATATATCTAGACCATAGTTAACTATGTCTGCTAACTTGTGCTGGGCATTGAAACTAATATGGAATCAACATACAAGATGAGATAAGCAAGAACTGACTTGCTGGTATAAAGAAATTTTTACAACTTCTAAATGATCAATAATGATGCTTCACAACAAACTATTAATATCCAAGATGATAATAAAGCCCATTTGGATTTATTGCATCAAACTGTGGGGTTCAATCAAACATTCAAACTGTCATGGCATTCAGATTTTCCAATCTAAAATTGTCTGAAAAATAGTAAACACTTCTTTCTATGTATCCTATCATAAAATCCATTTCAAATTCAGATCTTAACATTCCTTTTATGAAAGATGTCATAAAATCCCAATACATAAAATTTAACAAATCCATTTCATTTCATCCCATTCCATTAGGCCTAAGCTTAACCTGTACTATTCCCAATAATCCTTCCAGGTTAAAGCTGCAGTATCCTTGTGACCTGTTGGTCAGTGAGACATAACTTTTAACGGTATTAATGGGTGATTCTTGACACTCTAGTACTAGACTGTTTACTTTATTTTTCAATTAGTAAAAATTGAAAATTCTGTTGTAAACAATCCCTGACTTTCCCTGACAAGTTAGCAAGTTTTGCATTATGTGGATTTTATTCATGTTATCAAAACAGTACACACAACATGTATCAATGTTCATATTGTACATGGTTTAATTTGAACGTGCTAGATGTTTTTTGAAAATTCCTCGACTATCACAACTGAAATGGCTATTCTGTTTAGTAGAGTAGATTAATTTTAAAAACAGAGGTCTTGAAAGATCAATCCAATGATGATAGATTGATGACTAAAAATATTTTCTTTAAGCTTTGTCCTTCGAATCATTGCCTCAATTATAAAGCCTAGTTGTTAAGCAATGATTTCATTTTTTGTATCATTGTTTATCATAAAATTGCATATACCTAAGACAAGCCTCGTTGGAATGTTGTTCAGAAACATTTTGCTTTATTACTTCTTAAACACAAGATTTAAATTCTTTTTTGAAAAAGAATCACTATCACCCTTGGAATTCTCTTGAAATATTATTTTTTAGAGGAAATATATAATAATAACAGATAAGATATAACATAAGATAATAATAACAGTACAGTAGACTCTCGTTATCCACAGAGCATCACTTGGATAACGAGAACTATGGATAATAGTTTCAAATTTCAGACTTTGAAGCATTTTCATCCATCTACATACCAGACACTTTATGTATCATGCCTATCGTCAATGTTATGTTATAAACTTACGTGCATATATGTCAGGGGTTTTTCAATAAGAAAAATAATGTATGGTAACATACATAAAATTTATTCCTCGAAGGAAAACAATATGTACATACATCAACAGATGCGAAACAAACAAGAAAAAATTATTAGGAGCCTAAAAAAGATAAAATTTATAAAAAGGATAAAATAAATTCCACAGTTAGAAGAAGATGAACCAGCGATGTTTGCTCTTTCAGCTTTCTCAAAGAACATTGTTACTGTTATGCTTGACGAGCTTTTCTTCTTTCTTGTTGCTGTAGCTCAAGGAATCGAACAAGAACTAAAAAGTTGAGCCAATTGATTGAATTATTTTCCCAGATCACAATTTTAAATTGTGACATGCCAACCTGGTTGACGACTATTTTTTTCAGTTTACAACCACTATAATTCATTGAATGTTTAAAGTCAGGGGAGAGCTTTTAAGCTTAACCCAAAGCCAAACAATAACCCCGACAGCAATGAATGTATATGACTACTTAACCTAAGCCCTAATGCTAACAAACTAAACATTTTTAATCTGATTAATCTCATATTGAAACATTTCTCCCTTCAACCTGTCTTCGATGCTAACGCTATTTCATATAACCTAACCGTACTTAATGCTAACATAATGTTAACATAACCTAACCGCCCTTAACTCTAATCCTATTTAACATAACCTAACCATCCTTAAATCTAACCCTACTTAACATAACCTCTTACTTTATCATTACTTTACTCTTGTTCTTTTTGAATCATTCCACTGCCACAAATAAGAATCGATCTCCTGACCGTTGGAACTGACATTTCCGATTCAT